CCACTCTGCCCTGGTGGTTGTGGCTGGGGGGGGGTCCTTCGTACCGCGCGACGTCCCAACGATTACACCGGAACTCCTCAAGAAACTCCCGGAGGGGGGGGGGGCGAGAAACGTCGGAGGGGGCGAGCGAGCGGCCCAAACGTTCCACCGGCTACAACTCCCGTTGATTAATTATCCGTCGGTTCAACCGGGTGGAGGTGGAGGGGTGTTTAAATGATTCAATCAGCTCAGCTGCTTGTCCGCGCGACACCTCGCCGACCTCGTCGAGAAGCCACGACCATCATCACCATCATCGCCACCATCATCATCATCGCCACGATCATTATCATCATCCCCACCATCATCATCATCGCCACCATCATTATTATCATCGCCACCAATCATCATCATCATCGCCACCATCATCATCATCGCCACCATCATCATTCATCGCCACCATCATTATTATCATCGCCAATCATCATCGCCACCATCATCATCATCATCATCGCCACCATCATCACCATCATCACCACCACCATCATCACCGCCACCATCATCATCGCCACCATCATCATCATCGCCACCATCATCATCATCGCCACCATCATTATCATCATCGCCACCATCATTATCATCATCGCCACCATCATCATCATCATCGCCACCATCATCATCATCGCCACCATCACCATCATCATCGCCACCATCATCATCATCGCCACCATCATCATCATCATCGCCAAAATCATCATCATCGCCATCATCATCATCGCCACCATCATCATCATCTTAGTTCTTTCGGTAAAGTCACGTAGGTAAAAAAAATTAAATTAATAAAATAAACAATAAAATCATTTTTTATTTTTATTAATTTTAATTTCATTTTTTACCTACGTGACTTTACCGAAAGAACTAAGAGTATGAATCCTTGCAGTCACGAAAGCTTCAAATCTAGAATCATCATCGCCACCATCATCACCATCATCACCACCACCATCATCACCGCCACCATCATCATCGCCACCATCATCATCATCGCCACCATCATTCATCATCGCCACCATCATCATCATCATCGCCACCATCATCATCATCATCGCCACCATCATCATCATCGCCACCATCATCATCATCATCGCTACCATCATCATTGTCACCATCATCATCGCCACCATCATCATCATCGCCACCATCATCATCATCGCCAAAATCATCATCATCGCCATCATCATCATCGCCACCATCATCATCGTCTTAGTTCTTTCGGTAAGTCACGTAGGTAAAAAAAGATTAAATTAAATAATAAAATAAAACAATAAAAATATTTTTTATTTTTATTAATTTTAATTCATTTTTACCTACGTGACTTTACCGAAAGAACTAAGAGTATGAATCCTTGCAGTCACGAAAGCTTCAAATCTAGAATCATCATCATCGCCACCATCATCATCATCGCCACCATCATCATCACCGCCATCATCATCATCGCCACCATCATCATCATCACCACCATCATCGCCACCACCATCATCATCATCACCACCATCATCATCATCGCGCCAACTCCGCTCATCCTCGAAGCGGCGGCGGCGGCTTTTGGCTGCGAGCCGTCGAACTAAAAAGAACGGCGGTGGTCGCACTGCTCCCGCGGCCGTCTGGAACGCTCTTTCCCCTCCCGACATTGGGAAGCCGCTGCTGCTGGGAGCTGTGCCACGTTTAAGTCGTCTAGATTAGAGGGGTCGACAATTAAAATAACAAGAGACGTTATTTTGGAATCCCGGTAACAAACACCCCCCCCCCCAAGAAAAACAATCGACATTTAAAGAGCCGCAATTCCGTGTGAACCACGTCACGAAGCAGCCAATAAAGAGCACGTTGCCGAGCCCTGATCCACGACTGAAAACTCCTTTCTTTAAGAAACGTTCCTTTTTCTTTCGCGCGGTTTCGTTTGCCGCCCGCCCCCAGCACACGCACGATCGGCCACGTACGGTGCGAAAGAAGTTCAAAGCGCGTACCACACAGCGTCCCCGTGCGGTGAGAGGGCCAGGGCAAGAAGAGGCCTGCCAGTCCACGCGACATCTCGAGTGACGCGCGCGTGTTTGTTTTTTGCATCATTCCGTGTTGTTTGGTTTTATCCGGACCGCCCTCTCCCATGAACCGTGGGTAATTAATTATCGAGAGTTGACTCTTTGTTGTTGTCGAAATCTATTTGTTGTTGTTGTTGTTGCTGTTGAAATGCGGACAGCCCGGGCCTTTAAAAACCTCTCGCGAACTCCGATTACGAATCCCTCGTTGAGCCAACGATCCCAAACCCACGAACCTTATTCCCACGTGGCCCCCCCCTCCCCCATTGTCTCCGCAGCCAATCGCTTGCGAGAGTATTCCCGGTCACGTGGGGTGGGCCGACGACCGACAGCGAACGCCACGCTTATTTGCGGGACATTGGGCTTTCACGAATTTGGAGTCGAAACATTTTGACGAGCGGCAAAACAAAACAAAAAGAGAGCCACATTTCGCACAGCCGATCGTTTAAAAACCCCAACCACTCCGCTCCGGACGAAGACCTCCACGTGTCGCGACCACACGATTTTTTTTCACCGCGCTGGTCAGTGCGAGGCTTTGTCAAGGATGACGACCCCAGGGAAACCGGTTCAGATCATATTTCGCTCGTCGCTGGTGTAAGCCCGCGGGTCGGGAGTCGAACTCCGGCCACCACGCTTCATATCGGCCTTGCTGTGAATTTCCACGCGACGATGATGATGATGAGAAAGCCGCCGACTTCGTTGAGCTATCATGTGTGATGGACGGGTCGCTTCTGAAAGAGAGCTGCATCGGATCGGTGGGCACAACCTGCTCAAACTAAACTCGTTTTAATCTTGATTTGAAGCTTTCGTGACTGCAGGAATCCATACTCTTTGGTTCTTTCGGTAAAGTCACGTGGGTAGAAATAAAAATATGCAATTTATTTAATTTTTACCTACGTGGCTAGAAAAAAAATAAGCAATTTTATTTTAATTATATTTGTACCTACGTGGGTATTTCTACCTACGTAGGTAGAAATAAAACGACATAATTTTATTTTATTTCTACCCACGTAGGTAGAAATAATTTTTAAAAAAAATGGTTTTATTTTATTTCTAGAAATAAATAAAATAATTTTATTTTATTTCTACCCACGTAGGTAGAAATACATTTAAAATTTTTATTTTATTTTATTTCTACCTACGTGACTTTACCGAAAGAACCAAAGAGTATAAACTCGTTTTTTTTGTTGTTGTTTAGGTTATCACTGTGCTCTCACCGCTGCGACACCGCTCGCAACGGCGGGGGGGGGGGGAGGCAACAGCCGTGGACCACGAAAACGTTGCATTCGATTTGGCTCGCAAGCCTCGCGACGGCCAGGCTCGGCTAAGAGGGGAAGAAGAGCGACTCCACTCGACATGTTTGACGGGGCTGGCGAAAAAAAAACAAAGAAAAGCAGTCTCGGCGAGGATTTCCCTGGTTAAATAAATAAATTATGCCGCCGCTGCCGTTGTCGCAGGCAGCTATCGGGAAAAACAACCCCACAAATATTCGGCAAATTCGAGGCAAAGTTGAGCCTTTAAGGCTCGCCAAAGTACAATAAATGAGAACATCAAAAGGCGGATGGACATTCGGCTGGCTTGTTAGTTTTTGCACCTTCGCTTATGGCAAAGCTTCCAACGCCGGAGCTAATGAACTTTTTTCTTTCTTTTAAAACCCCGACCACCCCACCACCCCCCCCCCAACAATGTTTAGACACAAACCTCAGAAGGCAATCACGTCCAAGAAGAAGAATAAGACGAATTATCGCAATTTGAGATTCCATTAAGAGCCAAGGAGGAGGAGGAGCGTGGGGCGGCTAGGGGCTGATGACCTCACCACCGTCGCCCACTTCGCGACATCCCCCAGGCCCTCGATCCATGCGCAAAACGGCGTCCGACAACGAACCTAGCCACCTACCTACACACGCGACAACAGCAGCAGCAGCCGTCGCCATTCGCCACCAAGCGGCAGTGACATCGCCACGGCGCCTGTGCCAGGCCAGGTGCACTCCGAGGCCACGTGAAGTGTCGAAGGCTCGCCCCTGACAGAGGGGGTCACGGGGCGGAACCCAGCTGGTGCCGTGGGTTGACCGATTGAGATCACTGGCGGTGGCTAGGAGATGTTAACTACCTCGCCTGGTATACAGGAGGTCGTGCGTTCGATCCCGACCCTGACGCCTGCTGCTGTATATTTGGAATTTGCGTGTCTCTCTCTCATCATCATCACGGTGGCCAGGAGATGTTAACTACCTCGCCTGGTATACAGGAGGTCGTGCGTTCGATCCCGACCCTGACGCCTGCTGCTGTATATTTGGAATTTGCATGTCTCTCTCTCATCATCATCACGGTGGCTAGGAGATGTTAACTACCTCGCCTGGTGTACAGGAGGTTGTGGGTACTATCCCGATCCTGACGCCTGCTGCTGTATATTTGGAGTTTGCGTGTCTCTCTCTCTCTCTCATCATCATCACGGTGGCTAGGAGATGTTAACTACCTCGCATGGTGTACAGGAGGTCGTGGGTACTATCCCGACCCTGACGCCTGCTGCTGTATATTTGGAGTCTGCGTGTCTCTCTCTCTCTCCCTGTGGTCGCGTGGATTTTTCTCCGGGTCATCCGGTTTGTCCCTCCGCATTTAGAACCAACGTCACGCGTTTACAGCATTTGGCTGCTTTAAATGTCCACGCGATAAGCCACTTCGTAGAGCTATCATTTGCGATGCGCCAGGTCACTTCTGAAAAAAAGCGTCATAGCTCAGTGGGGGCTTATCTGGTCAAATAAAAGAAAGATGCAACACCCATGTGCCCCCTACTGTGCCAACTCGCTGCATTTTTAGCACCCCTCCCCCCACCCTCCAGCGCTCCGCTCGTTGTTGCGAGCGTCGCTTCTCTGCCCTCCGCTGCTGCTGCTGGTGCTGCTGGGAGTGCGACTGCCTCCGGCTGTCCCGTAGCCCCACGGAGGCCCCTGGCGGCTCTCTGAAGCGGCGCCGGCAGCAGGAAGCGAGCCGAGCCGCAGAAACATGCAACGGCGGCGCCCGGGTCTCTTCCCTGTGGCCGTGGGAAACGCCGGATCAGCCAACCCCCTCGCACGAACGCGGACCGTGGCCGCGAGGCAGCCCACGCTGGGCTATCGCAACCGCGCCACCGCCTTCACCGCACCGTCACCGCACAGTCACCGCCTGCCACAGCCGAGCCACCACCTTCACCGAACCGTCACCGATACAGCTCCCCGCCTGCCGCAGCTATGCAACCACCTTCACCGCACCGTCACTGCACCATCACCACCTGCCATAGCCGCTCCCCCACCTTCACCGAACCGTCACCGATACAGCTCCCCGCCTGCCGCAGCTATGCAACCACCTTCACCGCACCGTCACCGCACCATCACCGCCTGCCGCAGCCACGCAACCACCTTCACCGCACCGTCACCGCCTGCCACAGCCGCACCACCACCTTAACCAAATCACTTGCCGAACAATCCGTTTCTTCTCCCCGTGCCGCGGTGCCCGGTTTGCCGCCACCGCCGGCAGGGCGTGGAGATTCGCGAGACGGCGATTCAATTTTTTTGCTTCGTTTGGCTCCAACGTCCACTCGTGTCTTCCCGGTATTGGAAATTATCAAAGGCCGCCACCCACCCACCCTACCCCCCACTCCACCCTACCCGCCCTCCACCCTACCCCCCCACTCACCCTACCCCCCACCCTACCCCCCCCACCCACCCACCCGTTGCTCTTCGCTCAACTCCCCCCAGTAGTCCCCCCCCACCACCAACGACCCCCACAAACCCCCCCCCCCCCCCCGCTAATCGATAAAATAATAAAAAAAATCAGGCATTCAGGTTCATCATATATTTTGTTGTGTCACAGAACAATTACAAGCTCAGCCTTCGGCGAAGCGAAATACTGCAACATGCTTGTGTCTGTCTGTCTGCGTGTCTGTCTGCGTGTCTGTCTACGTGTCTGTCTGCGTGTCTGCTCGCTTGCTTATCTGTCCGCCTGCTTGTCTAAACCCCCCCAAAAAAACCAACCCCTTCATCACGAATATCCCCCGCTCGTCTGTCCGCTCAACTGCTTCGCCTGTGTCTCGTCTGCCCATTCGTCCGCTCCTCTCATCTCTCTGCCCGTCCACCTGCTTGTCCGTCCGTCCGTCTGCGCGACGCTGCAACGTTCGCCCAATGGGTGCGCAACGTTTACGGCGCACAGCTGCGCGCGTGACGCGACCGCCTGCGCGCGCCCGTGTCCGTCCATCCGTCTGTTCATCTCCCCGTCCGTCTGTCCGTCTATCTGTTCATCTCCCCGTCCGTCTGTCCGTCTGTCTGTTCATCTCCCCGTCCGTCTGTCCGTCTGTCTGTTCATCTCCCCGTCCGTCTGTCCGTCTGCTTGTCCGTCCGCGAGACCCGCGCGGTCTCGTCGGGCTCGCGTTCCGCATGCCGGGCCGGGCAACGGCGCGGGGGTCGAAGGTCGCGCGGCGCCATCGTCAAAAAGGCGCCCCCCCCCCCCCCACCGTCGTTGGTGCGAAATGGAAGAGTTCTGATTTTGTTAACTTCGGTGCGGAGTCTCTGGCGGCGAGTGACCCCAATTGGCCGTCACCCGCCACTTCCAGCCCCCACCGCCACCCCTCTCAGACCGATGGTCGTGGCGTTTTCAACTCCTTCGTTTCATCTTCAAAGCAACGGCAGCTCGTGACGACGACGACAACAACAACAAAATCTTCTCGCCCCCCTTCCGTGCGTCGGATCACCCCCCCCCCCCACCCTCCCTCCTCCTCCCCTGCCGTGCCATCTCCCGTGGCCTCTCTGTGAAGCGTCACGGAACGGGGACAAGAGACAGGACAGGGGGGGGGGGGACAAGGTGTGAGAGAACGGATCTGTCTCTACCTGTCTGTCCGTCGTGCTGTAGAGTATTGTTATTGGATGAGTGTGGGATTGAGTGGAGTTTGTGATTGAGTGGAGTTTGAATATTCTCCCCCTGCTTCTGCAGAGATGAGTGTGAGAGTGTGCGAGCGTGAGTGTGTGAGTGTGTGACTGAGCGATATTCTCCCCCTGCTTCTGCAGGGATGAGTGTGAGAGTGTGTGAGTGTGTGACTGAGCGGAGTTTGTAAATTCTCTCCCGTTTCTGCAGGGTGGGTGTGAGATGTGTGCGAGCGTGAGTGTGTGAGCGTTGTGACTGAGCGGAGTTTGTAAATTCTCTCCCCGCTTCTGCAGGGATGAGTGTGAGAGTGTGAGAGTGTGTGAGTGTGTGAGTGTGTGACTGAGCGGAGTTTGTAAATTCTCTCCCCGCTTCTGCAGGGATGAGTGTGAGAGTGTGCGAGCGTGTGAGTGTGTGAGTGTGTGACTGAGCGGAGTTTGTATAGTCTCCCCCTACTTCTGCAGGGATGAGTGTGAGAGTGTGCGAGCGTGAGTGTGTGAGTGTGTGACTTAGCGGAGTTTGTATATTCTCTCCCTGCTTCTGCAGGGATGAGTGTGAGAGTGTGAGAGTGTGCGAGCGTGAGTGTGTGACTGAACGGAGTTTGTAAATTCTCTCCCCGCTTCTGCAGGGATGAGTGTGAGAGTGTGCGAGCGTGAGTGTGTGAGCGTGTGACTGAGCGGAGTTTGTAAATTCTCTCCCCGCTTCTGCGTGGGTCTACGTCTGGGTTCCCCCATTTCCCGCCCGTAGCTAAACACGCTCACTCGCAACGTAGCCGGCGTTGGCCAAACATCCCCAATGCTGAAACATTTACCTTGAAAACCACTCAGCAGCATCAGCAGCAGCATCATCACTGCCCACATCTGTGAATCTACCGCTGGGCAGTGTCTGCGAAACTCAGCGGTGCCTTCCTCCGACAGCGCCAACGCCGCGCATACTACATTATCATCACGACCGGACATCGGTGAAAAAGAGCTTCACAGCTCATCGGATTCCCCCCAGTATGAATAAATATAGAGTCTTAATTATGATGACGTCCCACGATTTGCTCAAGAGTGCTGAGAGGGGGGGGGGCGGTGGGGCTTTCAGTTGGGTTGCAAACCTAAAAATCGCCCCGTCAGAGCCGTGCTGCACTACTGGGCCGACGGTGATAACGATGCGGTGGTGACGATGTCAAGATGTCGTCAATTTCAGTAGCCTCGATAGTATGCAGATCAAGGAGGCGGGCAGCAGCAGCAGCAGAAGTAGCAGCAGCTGCAGTAGGAGCTGCAGCAGCAGCGGCAGCAGCTGCAGCAGAAGTAGCAACAGCAGCAACAGCTGCAGCAGCTGCAGCAACAGCAGCAGCGGCAGCAGAAGTAGCAGCAGATGCAGAAGCAGCGGCATAAGCAGCGGCAGCAGCTGCAGAAGGAGCAGCAGCGGCAGCAGAAGTAGCAACAGTTGCAGCAGCCGCAGCAAACAGCAGCAGAAAGAGCAGCAGTTTCTGCAGCAGAAATAGCAGCAGCGGCGGTAGCGGCTGCAGCTCACCGCTCTTCAGCTGAAGACGTGAGCGAAGAGAACGGAGAGGCCGATGAAAAGTAGCACCAGCATGGACGTCAGGACGGCCTTCTGCTCCTGAAGTGCAAGGGAGACACGAGGAGGCAGAGACAAGGGGACGGACACGCGGGGACACGCAGAGGCACAGACACGCGGAGCCGGACAGAGACACAGAGACACACGGAGGCAGACAGAGACACACGATGTTGCACGGAGACAGACACGCAGAGACACATGTTGACACAGAGACGTGGAGATACAGACACGTGGAGACACACGGAGTCGCACGGAGACACAGACGCACGGAGGCAGAGAGAGACACAGACACACGGAGGCAGACAGAGACACAGAGACAACGATGTTGCACGGAGACAGACACGCAGAGACACATGTTGACACAGAGACGTGGAGATACAGACACATGTTGACACAGACACGCGGAGACGGACAGAGACACAGAGACACACGGAGGCAGACAGAGACACACGATGTTGCACGGAGACAGACACGCAGAGACACATGTTGACACAGAGACGTGGAGATACAGACACGTGGAGACACACGGAGTCGCACGGAGACACAGACGCACGGAGGCAGAGAGAGACACAGACACACGGAGGCAGACAGAGACACAGAGACACACGATGTTGCACGGAGACAGACACGCAGAGACACATGTTGACACAGAGACGTGGAGATACAGACACATGTTGACACAGACACGCGGAGACACACGGAGTCGCACGGAGACACAGACGCGCAGAGCCACGGACACACAGAACACACACGGAGACACACGGAGACACACGGAGACACACGGAGACACAGAGAGACGCACGGACACATGGGGGAGACACACACAGACAGGCATTAACGCTGCACAACACAACTTGCAATCACACCGCACCCATGACGCAGCGTCTCGGAGCGCGGCGTCCACAGCACTAGGGGACCTCCTGCTGGAAGCTGACCCTATGCGGCACGAGCAGAACAGGGGCACTGCAGTTGTGAGATGTTAACTACCTCGCTCGGTATACGGGAGGTCGTGGGATCGATCCCGACCCTGACGCCTGCTGCTGCTGTATATTTGCCATCTGCGTGTCTCTCTCTATCCCCGTGGTTGTTTTCCGGCGTCCTTCGTTTTGCTCCCCCTCTGCATTTAGAGTCAACATCGCGTGTTTGAGTGTATTCGGGCCGCTGGGAATTTCCACGCGATGGTAAGCCACCTCGGTGGAGCTGCAACTTGCCCTTAGCCAGGTCGCTTCTAAAAAATAAGCGAGTAACGCGAAATCCAAATATACAGCAGCAGGCGTCAGGGTCGGGATCGAACCCACGAACCTCCCGCATACCAGGCGTGGTAGTTCACATCTCCTAGCCACCGTGACGATGATGAGAGAGAGACACGCCAACTCCAAATGTACAGCAGGCGTCAAGGTCGGGATCAAACCCACGACCTCCTGTATACCAGGCGAGGTAGTTAACATCTCCTAGCTACCGTGATGATGATGAGAAAGAGACACACAAACTCCAAATATACAACAGCAGGTGTCAGGGTCTGGATCGAACCCACGACCACCTGCATACCAGGCGAGGTAGTTAACTGCGGCGCCCTATTGTACACCCCCAGCCTCCACCCAACATCATTTCAAGCGCCACGCTGGGGAGGTCGCATCCAACCGACGACCTCCGGATTGCGAGTCCAGCAGCGTGCCACTGTGGGGCCAGCAGAAGCAGCAGCGGCAGCAGCGGCAGCAGCGGCAGCAGCGGCAGCAGCGGCAGCAGCGGCAGCAGCGGCAGCAGCGGCAGCAGCGGCAGCAGCGGCAGCAGCGGCAGCAGCGGCAGCCCCTTCGATACATGTGTTGGTGGTCCGTGTGAAACTCGAGGAGCGCATGGGCATGGATTGAGGGAAGGGGTCGAGAATTTGCTGAAGCAACGCGACCGGGAGGGGAGACAGCTGGGAGACAGCGTTAATAAAAAGAATGAAAAAAAAAAACAACCCGGCGAGAAACGGCGGCGGCAACAACACCGCCGCCGACTACGACGGCGACGATGGCGACGACGGGACACGCGAAATGTGCCCGTCGCGGATCGAACGTCTGGGAACGAACATCTCGGCAATATTACGGAGAGCGGGAGGGAGCGAGCCAAGGGAAGGGGAGGAGGGAAGCGACTCATGAACCAACTCGACAACCCACCCAGCCACTCGCTATTCACACACTCGCCCACCCACTCACTAACCCACCCACCCACTCGCCATTCACACACTCACCCACCCACTCACTAACCCACCCACCCACTCGCTATTCACACACTCACCCACCCACTCGCTAACCCACCCACCCACTCGCCCACCCACTCGCTATTCACACACTCGCCCTCCCACTCGTTAACCTACGCCCCCACTCGCGATTCACCCTCTCTCCCACCCACTCGTTAACCCACCCAGCCACCCGCTATTCACACACTCGCCCACCCACTCACTAACCCACCCACCCGCTATTCAAACACTCACCCACCCACCCACTCACTATTCACACACACGCCCACCCACTCGCTAACCCACCCACCCACTCGCTAACCCACCCACCTGCTATTAACACACTCGCCCACCCACTCGCTATTCACACACACGCCCACCCACTCGCTAACCCACCCACCCACTCGCTAACCCACCCACCTGCTATTAACACACTCGCCCACCCACTCGCTATTCACACACTCGCTATTCACACACTCACCCACCCACTCGCTATTCACACACTCGCCCACCCACTCGCTATTCACACACTCGCCCACCCACCCACCCACTCGCTATTCACCCACCCACCCACCCACTCGCTATTCACACACTCGCCCACCCACTCGCTATTCACACACTCGCCCACCCACCCACCCACTCGCTATTCACCCACCCACCCACCCACTCGCTATTCACACACTCGCCCATCCACTCGTTCGCACAACCACCTCTTCACTCGCCTGAACAGACTGTTGGGGCAAGTGCTGTTAGTGAGCACCTATCAAGGCCGGCATGGCACACGAGGGGTGTGAGTGGACACCACCACACCCGGCCGCCTTTGTCTCCCCAGTAGCGACGTTTACACTCCGCACCAGATACTGGACCTAAGGGAGGCCCAGGACCGGTTCAGATAATCGCTATCACTGGTGTTGGCCGCGAGCGGGAATCGAACTCGGGTCGCCGGGTTCGTAGCGCAGCGCGCCAACCACTACACTCACCTACTCTCTCACCCTTTCATGCAACTACCAAACTGCATAGTCACCCACTAAGCAAATTACTCACCTCACTAACCTACCGACTCACACCTACATCTTCACTTACGAACCCACTCACTCCCCCGCCGACTCATCCACTCACACACACACACCTACTGACTTATCTACTCACATACACACACACCTACTCACTTATCTACTTACACACTTAAATAGTTACTCACCTACCCACCCACCCACCGACTCACTAACCCACTCATTTACTCACCCATCCATTCACCTACCGATTCTACTCAGTCGCCCACTCACCCACAGATTCACTGGCGATGAGATAGTAAAACCGGACCTTGGAGGTATACAGGAGGTCGTGGGTTTGATCCGACCCTGGCGCCTGCTGTATATTTGCAGTTTGCATGTCTCTTTCACCCCGTGGTAACATTTAGAGGATCTGGCTTCTATAAATTTCCACGTGATGTTGATAAGCCGCTTCTCGTTGGGCTATCATTTGCGGCAGGGCCTCTTCTGAAAAAGAGCTCTGTAGCTGAGTGGGCCTTCCCCGGTTAAAATAAGAATAGTTTTTTTTAGTTCATACTGCGGGGCGATTGAACTGTAAACACCGTGCACCGCCTGACTTGCAGTGGACGTGAAAGATCTGAAAAGCAGCCTTGCTACGAGCTCGTGTGCCGGGCGTCACGGTCCGGATTTGAAAAAACAAAATCACCGCAAAATGACCGAATTTGGCAACAAAAAAAACCACATCAGCACCGGCACCCCCCCACCACCCCCCTCACTGCGGACGTTTGGCAACGGCGGCAACATCGCAACCCCCCCCCCCCTTCTTGCTCTGCAACCACCGCCGACTGCGCCCGTCCGTGAAGAAGCGCAACGGCGCCATGGCTCGTGACGCCATTTTTTGCGTTGTGGGAATTTCCGGCGACGGCCTTTGACCTGCGTCGACCTCCTGACCCTGCGGATTTTTCCACTGGCGACGGCCTTTGACCTCTCGTCGACCTCCTGACCCTGTGTATTTTTCCGCTGGCGACGGCCTTTGACCTCTCGTCGACCTCTTGACCCTGCGTATTTATCCGCTGGCCACGGCCTTTGACCTCTCGTCGACCTCCTGACCCTGCGTATTTTTCCGCTGGCGATGGCCTTTGACCTCTCGTCGACCTCTTGACCCTGCGTATTTTTCCGCTGGCCACGGCTTTGACCTCTCGTCGACCTCCTGACCCTGCGGATTTCTTCGTTGACGACGGCTTTAAACTCTCGGCGATCTCCCGGTGACCTCCTGACCTTGAGTATTTTTCACTCGTTTCGTCGTTTTTTTCCCCCTTCTCGCCACCTATCTACTCTCTCTCGCTCTCTCTCTCCGCCCCCCCCCCCCCCCCACACATCTCTCTCTCGCTCCTCCTCCCTCGCCCGCCGCCACCGCAAGCGGCAGTTGTCCCACATTCGCAAGGATCCATAAATAAGCGGAAATTTGACCTCCACATTTAAAGTGGCGCTCCGAGATCTTGTGCACGCGTAAGCACTCGCGACCAAAATAAAACGACTGCCGAGAGCAGTGGACGAGCGTGAGCGAGCGTGTGCGTGCGTGCAAATAGGTGCTCGCTAACTGCACTTACCCCAAGGGGCTGTCAAGGCTATATGGGGGGGGATCTTTGTCTTTGTGTACATGGTTTGTGGGGAACGGCGGCGCAACAGTTAGCGCTCTCCGCTACGAACTCGGCGGCCCGAGTTCGATTCCCGCTCACGGCCACCAACACCGGTGACGATTATCTGAACAGGTTCTGGGCCTCCCCTGGGTCGACTCAGCCTCAAATGAGTACCTGGTGCGGTGTGTAAACGTCGCGACTGGGGAGACAAAGGCGACCGGGCGTGGTGTTGTCCACCCACGACCCTCGTGTGTGCCACAGTGCCGGCCTTCATCGGTGCTGCTCGCTAACCGCACTTTCCCCAAAAGTCTGTTGAGGCTATGCGGGGGATCTTTGTGTATGTCAGGCAGTCCGTCTTCTTTATTTAACCAGGAGATGACGCCACCCCGTGGAGGGATACGCAGCAACATGGCCTCTTTTGCAAGGGCGACCCGGGTTACACGGTTGCAGGCGTGCGCGTGTGTGAGTACACGCGTGTGCGTGCGCATGTGGCGCAGTGTGCGAACAACAGCAGTGGGGAGACAAAGGCGGCCGGGCGTGGTGCTGGCCACCCTTACCCCCTGGTGCGCCGTGCCGGCCTTCACAGGTGCTGCTCGCTAACGGCACTTGCCCCAACAGTCTGCGTATACGCTCAATTCAAGTGCACTCACACACGTGACCAAACGCGGGTGTTTTCAACAAATATTTAGGGTGACCGATACCTTGGACCGAGCGAGGCTGGGGAACGCTTTGGGTCCGGGAAAAGACGATGGCGGGGAAATTCCCTCCCATCGTCTCTTGCTACTTTCCTCGTCGTCGTCGTCAGCCATGATCTATCAACTGCTGGCGGGCGGCGAGTGTTGCCGCGTGCTTGAGCGTGAGATTCCCCCAACCGAGTGATTCTCGGCGTAAATCTTCCAAATCCGGCAAACTTGGACCGTCGAAGCCGACGGCACGCGGTGGCCTACAGTTTGCCGAACGACGTCACGGGATTATGGAACGTTCGCCGCGGCGGTGTGATCATCATCATTATTATTGACGACAGCTAATACCGCACCACCGCGGTATTAACCAGGGTGGCCCTCTGGAAATCGAAGCCGTGAACGGGTCATAATGACACCACGGGGGACCTTGGTGTTTGGCGGGGGTGGCGGCGGTGGTGGTGGTGGTAGCACCGGCAACGATTATCCGAACCGGTCCTGGGCCTTCCCCTAGGTCTACTCAGCATCAAATGAGAACCCGGTGCGGTGCGGTGCGTAAACATCGCCACTGGGGAGACAAAAGCAGCCAGGCGGAGTGATGGCCACCCACCCCATCGTGTGCCGTACCGGCCTTCATAGGTGCTGCTCGCTAACAGCACTTGCCCCAACAGTCTGTTAAGGCTACACGGGGGGGGGGGGGGGCTATTTGTCTTTGTTTTTTTGGTAGTGGCGGCAGTGTTAGCAGCAGGCGGTGCCCCTCGTTCCAACTGCCACGCCGGGCGATCGAATCGAACGTGGCGAGTCCCCCGTGCGGCAAAGCTCGCGGTGCCACGGACCGTTGGGGATTCACGGCACCGTCGCGGTGTGGCCGGGGTGCCCGTTTACCGACTGGCGCACGCCGGTGCCAGACGAAAAGCGCCGAGTCGGCGGCGGCGGCGGCGCGACCGCCGACACGTAAAACCCTGCTGGCTTCAGCGATAATTTTTTTTTTTACAAACATTAATATTAATATCCTCCCCTCTCGCTCTCTCCACCTCTCTCCACATCTTTAGCGGTGGTCGGATCGGCGGCAGGTCGCGCCGTGGGCGTTGCGCCGCGACCCGCCCCGTGACCCCCCCCACCGCCACCCCCCACCCAAACCTCCTTCGCCACGATTGCAAGTCGATGGACACACACGCGCCCGGCCGCCAACGGACAGCACTGTTGTTGAAGTCGTCACGGATGCGTCTCTTGAATCGAGAAAGGCTGTTGTCGTAAGCGCTTGGCAAGAGAGAGTTTAGGTGATGGGGGGGGGGGGCTGATGTATTTTTTTGGGACACTGACCTTTGACCTTTTGTCGTCGTCATCCCTCTCTCAAAATGAGCTCAAGTCTCCCGCGAGTCGCACGCCACTTTCTGCTGTGGCCGCCCTCACTCTGAATGCCTCCCCCCTCTCATCTATAGAACTGTGTCTGTCTAAACCAGCTCAAGGCTCCTGTACATCACGTGGCTTCTGTTGTGGCCACCCCCCACTCCGAACCCTTCTTCCCGCCCACTGTGAAAACAGACGCTGCTCCTCCGTGCAGCAGCAGCAGCAGCGTGGAGGCCCTGACACAGCAGCCTTCTCCCTCTCTCTCTCTCTTCTTGCTCTGTGCTCCCGTTTCTCCGTTACTTTTCCACGACCACCACAGCCACCACCGCCACCATCACTACCACCACCACCACCGCCACCACCGCCGCCACCGCCGCCACCGCCACCGCCACCGCCACCACCACCACCACCGCCACCGCCACTCACCGGTGTTCTGTCTCGCACGCGGATGACCTCCTCGATGACCTCCACTTTCGGTTTCGCCGCCTTGGACACCGGCGGCCTCTTACTCCGCTGGGGCCCCTCCTTGGCCTCCTCCCGCTCCGTCTCCTCCTCCTCCTCCTTCTCCTCCTCCGCGGCGTGGTCACGCGGCGACGCCCCGCGGGGCCTCGCCGCCGGCGACTCCGGCCGCGGTTTCGATTCCCGCGATCGTGCCGGCGGCGACTCCGGCTCCGGGTCTTGCCGAGCGGGCGGCCGGCGCGACGCCTCGGGGGACTCCTCGGCTCTGCGCCGCGAAGGCCCCGAATGGGCCGGACGTGCCGGTTCCGGGAACGTGAACCGGAACTGCGGCTCATCGTCAAACTCCCGCTCCGATGTGATGCCCCCCGCCGCGTCCCCTCCGTCGCCACTCGTCTGCCCCCGGCGCTCCCGTCTCAGTCGCCCGACGTCCTCCTTCTCCTCCTCTCCTTCCTCCTCCCCCTCCTCCTCTTCCAGGACTTCCCAATCCTCCTCCTCCGCCTCCTCCTCCGCCTCCGCCCCATGCTCTCCTGACGCCACGCGCTTCTTTCCTCCGGGCACTCGTCCGTCGTCAAAACCGGCTTCAGTGTCACGCTCCTCCTCCTCCTCCACCTCTTTCTTCTTCTTCTTCTTCTTCTCCCTCGTCTGAACCTCCGCTGCCACCGTCGCGTCCTCCGTCTGCCGCAGCAGCAGCAGCTCCACCTCCTCGTCCTCCTCCTCCCTCTCCTCCTCCTCCTCCTCCTCCTTCGGCACGTCGCCGCGATCGAAGAACGCCTTCTCGGCCGGCGACAGCGTCGGCGTCGCGGGCACGAAGTCGAAGGCGCCGTCGCTGATGATGGACACGCGCGTGTTCACCGGGTAGTCGTGGTAGTACGAGATGTAGTCCGCCGACTCGTGCTGCTGCTGCTCCTGCTGCTGATACTGCCTCTGCGGCTGCTCGCCACCTTCCTCCTCCTCCTCCTCCGCTGCTGGATAGTTCCCGTCCCTCTCGGTCCTCCGCGCCGCGGTCGCCCCCGTGGCCGCCGCCGCCGCCCCCCCCGCCACCGGCTCCAGCGGCCGCATCTGCAGCTCGTAGCTGCTCGAGTGGCGGCTCCCGCTCGCCGGGTTAGGGGTCGCGACCCCCGCCGCTGTAGAGGTCACGCCGTCGCCCGGCGGCGGCGGCGTGACCTCTACGCCGATGTCACCGCCGGCGCGCCGCTTCCGCTCGTCCGCCGGCGCATCCGCGGCGCCGCGGCGGTCCGCCCGATCGGCGCCGACTCCCGTCTCCCCGTTGTTCCTCGCCGCTCCACGGCCGCGTTGGCCGTCGCCCGCGGCGCCTGCCGTCACCGCTGCCGGCGGCACGGCCGCGGCGCCGCAGTGCCGCAGCTCGGGGCTCGACTGCGTGACGAACGGCGCCGGGTTCCCCCCGCGGAGCTGCAGCCCGCCGCCGCCGCCACCGCCGCCGCCGCCACCGCCGGGGCTCGGTGGAGGGCTGGAGGAGCGCGGGGTGGAGCGGGCCGTGCCGCCCCCGCCGCCACCGTCGCCGCCGCCGTGGTAGAGCTCGGGGCTGTAGCGGTCGATGGGCTCATCGGAGCCGCGGTACTTGTGCTCCTCGCCTGCGGCCTCGCGCGCCGACTTCTGCCGCTGGTACTCGAGGCCTGGGGGGTGGGGTGACGGGGAGACGGGGGTTGTTGTTGTTGTTGTTCCGCTTGTTTACCCACGCGAGCCTCGCCGAGTCTAGAGGGTTGGTCTTTGAAAGGAGGATGCTGCCAGGGTTTTCGCAGGAGCGGGCGATGTTACCGCTGGGTGTGTGCGCGAGTGACATCCCAATCGAACACTTTATTCTCGATGTGAATCTACGGGTCTCAATGTGTAGAGTCCATGTGTCTGTATGTATAGAGTCTATTGGTATCTATGTGTAGAGTCCATGGGTCTGTACGTATAGAGTCTACGGGTCTCAATGTGTAGAGTCCATGGGTCTGTACGTATAGAGTCTATTGGTATCTATGTGTAGAGTCTATGGGTCTGTACGTATAGAGTCTATTGGTATCTATGTGTAGAGTCTATGGGTCTGTACGTATAGAGTCTATTGGTATCTATGTGTAGAGTCTATGGGTCTGTACGTATAGAGTCTATTGGTATCTATGTGTAGAGTCTATGGGTCTGTACGTATAGAGTCTATTGGTATCTATGTGTAGAGTCTATGGGTCTGTACGTATAGAGTCTATTGGTATCTATGTGTAGAGTCCATGGGTCTGTACGTATAGAGTCTATTGGTATCTATGTGTAGAGTCCATGGGTCTGTACGTATAGAGTCTATTGGTCTCAATGTGTAGAGTCCATGGGTCTGTACGTATAGAGTCTATTGGTATCTATGTGTAGAGTCCATGGGTCTGTACGTATAGAGTCTATTGGTATCTATGTGTAGAGTCCATGGGTCTGTACGTATAGAGTCTATTGGTCTCAATGTGTAGAGTCCATGGGTCTGCATGTATAGAACCTATGGGTCTCCATGTATAGAGTCTCTGGGTATCTACGTATAGAGTGTACGGGTATCTATGTACTTCTAGATCCAGATTGAAAACACATTTCTTGACAACTGCGATTCAGCACGGTTGGCTACGTTACGGTGCGAACGAAGTTCAACGCACACGCGTGCACACCACCACGCACACGCGTGCACACCGCCATGCACACGCGTGCACACCGCCACGCACACGCGTGCACACCGCCACACACATGCGCGCGTTGAGTTTGGAGCCGCGCCGATCCTTCGCCCATCTCTGCGGAACAGGTGCCGCTCGGTGTTCAATCACCGGGGAGGAGGAGGTGGAACACTCGCCTCTCTCCGATATGGGCCGCGGGTATTAATAGAACGGCACGCATTCCCGCGGCACGCTCTCCCCCCAACGCCAAACGAAGCCGCCACCGCAGCCGCCACCGCAGCCGCCACCGCAGCCGCCACCGCAGCCGCCACCACCACCACCGAGTAACCGGGAGGGGCCAGGCCATGGCGTTCCAGTCAGCCGTGATGCGTGGATGTCACGGCACGCGTGTGTGAGTGTGTGTGTGTCAGTGTGTGTATGAGTGTGTGGGCGATGTGGGGAGCGGGAGTGGTAGCGGTTAGCACGCGGCGCTACGAACCGGGCGACCTGGGTTCGATTCCCGCTCACGACAACCAACACCGGTGGCGATTATCTGAACCGGTCCTGGGCCTCCCCTAGGTCGACTCGGCTTCAAATGAGTACCTGGTGCGGTGTGTAAAATTACATTACCACTAGGGAGACAAAGGCGGTCGGGTGTGGTACTGATCACCCACCCCGTAGAGTGCCGTGCCGGCCTTCATAGGTGCTGCTCGCTAACAGGACTTGCCCCAAAAGTATGTGAAGGCTACACAGTGGATCTTTGTCTTTGTGATGTGAAAATGTCATGTTGTGCGTGTGAAGTGAAGAGTGCGATGGCGATGTGTTTGATGTGTGGATATCATCGTGTGTGTGACGGGTGGATTGTGGCAGTGTGTGCGGTGTGTGTAGTGCATGGGGTGTTTGGTGCATGGTGTGTGTGGTGTGTGTGGTGTAGATTGTGACGGTGTGTGTGGTGTGTGTGATGTATGTGGTGTGTGTGGTGTGTGTGGTGTGTGTGGTGTGTGTGGTGTGTGTGGTGTGTGTGGTGTGTGTGGTGTATGTGGTGTGTGTGGTGTGTGTGGTGTGTGTGGTGTGTGTGGTGTGTGTGGTATGTGTGGTGTGTGTGGTGTGTGTGGTATGTGTGGTGCGTGTGGTGCGTGTGGTGCGTGTGGTATGTGTGGTGCGTGTGGTGTGTGTGGTGCGTGTGGTGTGTGTGGTGTATGTGGTGTGTGTGCTGTCTGGTGCATGTGGTGTGTGTGGTGCGTGTGGTGTGTGTGGTGCGTGTGGTGTATGTGGTGTGTGTGGTGTGTGTGGTGTATGTGGTGTGTGTGGTGTGTGTGGTGTATGTGGTGTGTGTGTGTGGTGTGTGTGTGGTGTATGTGGGTGTGTGTGGTGTATGTGGTGTGTGTGGTGTATGTGGTGTGTGTGGTGTATGTGGTGTGTGTGGTGTGTGTGTGTGGTGTGTGTGTGGTGTATGTGGTGTGTGTGGTGTGTGTGTGTGGTGTGTGTGTGGTGTATGTGGGTGTGTGTGGTGTATGTGGTGTGTGTGGTGTATGTGGTGTGTGTGGTGTATGTGGTGTGTGTGGTATGTGTGGTGTATGTGGTGTGTGTGGTGTATGTGGTGTGTGTGGGTGTGTGTGTGGTGTATGTGGTGTGTGTGGTATGTGTGGTGTATGTGGTGTGTGTGGTGTATGTGGTGTGTGTGGGTGTGTGTGTGGTGTATGTGGTGTGTGTGGTGTATGTGGTGTGTGTGGTGTATGTGGTGTATGTGGTTGACGTTTCGATTCAAGGTTTTGCCGGGCGGCTCCGAGCCAACACCGCCGGGATCCTGGCTCCCAACTCAAGCGTGGCGAGTTCAGAATCGGAATTAACAAATCTCTCACTGGGCAGCACAAAGCCGATGAGCTGTGAAGCTTTTTTCACAGGTGTCCAGTCGGAGTTGACGCTCTTAACCCGGCGCTCTGACGACTGCACGGGGAATAAGTATAACCCGTAAAAACAAAGTTTTTCACTCTAAATCCTTTATATGCGTGGCGGCTAGAGTCCTCTCTTCCTCTGGCTTGAGATGGCTGCCACCTATGGGTCAGATGATTGTCTGCCAGTATTAAGCAATTGGTAATTAAATATTTAATTTGTTTTCCCTTAACAGTGTAACATTTAGGAAAAAAAATTTCACGAACATTAATTGTCTCGCACAACGAGTCTGTGTGCAAAATGTCAGCTCGATTGGATCACGGGAAGTGGGTTAAAAAACGAGCGAGAGATTTGCACGGTCGTAAGCAAGCAAGCGAGCACGCAAGCAAGCAAGCAAGTGAACTTAATATAAAGGATTCAAGACCTCACTCCGCTAAATTTGACTTTGCGCCCTAATTCGGCGAAAAAACATTCCAAAAAGTTTAGCGAGCAAATAAATAATTAAGTTCAGCTTTCGCCGCGGCGCGACGGACGTTCCTCACGCCGCGTGGGAAAGTGCCTCGCGTGCCCCCGAACCACGCCCCCACCCCGCCCCGCCGGGAAGATATCTCAGATTTACACTATGAGACATCTCCTTTACCAATGGCAAAATATAGTAGTAGGTTTTTACCCTTTAAACTGGTACAAAAACTGACACCTTTATACAAGGCATCATGTTTGCAATAACCACAACACAAGTAGTCAAAATGCAAACAAAAAGAAACAACTCTGATGATGATATGCACTGTCCTTGAAGTTAAGTTGTACGCCTTTTGGTGTCATCTGGTCCAACACCAATGGAGACTAGGCTCTAAAGAAAGCCGTCTCGGGTGTGGACCAATCAACTTCAAGGACAGTGCATATCATTATCATCATCAGAGTTGTTTCTTTTTGTTTGCATTTTGACTACTTGTGTTGTGGTTATTGCAAACATTATGCCTTGTATAAAGGTGTCAGTTTTGTACCAGTTTAAAGAGTAAAAACCTACTACTACGATATCTCAGATGATGTTCTGTGAAATCCACTTCCGTGGGCCGTTCGTTCTCTATGACGCGGGGGGGCGATGCACCGTCCCCCTGGGAGCGTTCCGCACGGAGGACTTCGCTCATCCCGTGCTGAGCGCGCGAAAACGACAGCGCAGAATCGTCGTCATCGGCAGCATCATCGTCAGCGGCCAAGGTCTATCTACAGCTGGATGAAGGCCTTCCCCCCCCCCCCCCGCGCGCGCGGCGATCCGCGTCGCTGCATCTCCCCGGGCTCACGGCTCCGTCCTTTGGCTGCCGTTCCAGCACCGAGTCTCATCCGCTGGTCAACATCCCTTCTCAGCCACGACGCGTCCGCTTACCCAAGCCACCGTGGGTAACACGGTGGCTAGGAGATGTTAACTACCTCGCCTGGTATACAGGAGGTCGTGGGTTCGATCCCAACGCTGACGCCTGCTGCTGTATATTTGGAGTTTGCGTGTCTCTCTCTCATCCTCATCACGGTGGCTAGGAGATGTTAACGACCTCGCCTGGTATACAGGAGGTCGTGGGTTCGATCCCAACGCTGACGCCTGCTGCTGTATATTTGGAGTTTGCGTGTCTCTCTCTCATCATCATCATCACGGTGGCTAGGAGATGTTAACTACCTCGCCTGGTATACAGGAAGTCGTGGGTTCGATCCCAACGCTGACGCCTGCTGCTGTATATTTGGAGTTTGCGTGTCTCTCTCTCATCATCATCACGGTTGCTAGGAGATGTTAACTACCTCGCCTGGTGTACAAGAGGTTGTGGGTTCGATCCCGACCCTGACGCCTGCTGCTGTATATTTGGAGTTTGCGTGTCTCTCTCTCATCATCATCATCACGGTGGCTAGGAGATGTTAACTACCTCGCCTGGTGTACAGGAGGTCGTGGGTTCGATCCCAACGCTGACGCCTGCTGCTGTATATTTGGAGTTTGCGTGTCTCTCTGTCTCTCCCCGTGGTCGCGTGGATTTTTCTCCGGGACCTCCGGTTTTTTCCCTCCACATTTAGAGTCAACGACGTGCGTTTAGAGTATTCGGCTGCTGTAAATGTCCACGTGATGATGGGCTATCGTTTGTGGCCAGGTCGCATACCTCGGTGGGGCCTTATCTGCTCAAGTAAAAATAGCGGTAAAGAATCGTGTGTCTGGGCGTGGTGCTGGTCACGCTCACAGCACTTGCCTCAACAGTCTGTTAAGGCTAGATGGGGGATCTTTATCTTTGTTGTCAGAGCATTTGTCCACTGCCGATACATTTCCACACGACGATGATGACAAAGACGGAGGCGAGTCGCCAATTCGCCGAGCCATCGTTTGCGATCGCCTCTGGGATTAAAGAGCGAGGGGGGGGGGGGCCTTACCTGGTAAAATAAAAAATAAAAGGTAAAATATTCTATGGTTCTTTTCGGTAAAGTCACGTAGATAGAAAATATAATAACAATTAAATAATAATGACGGACCACTTGTGTTGCGATCGAAACGTCGTGATATTTTTATTAACTTTATTGTTATAATTTTTTCTATCTACGTGACTTTAATGAAAGAACCACAGAATATGAAATTCCTGCAGTCACGAAAGTTTTAAGTCAAAAAATTAAAGTTTTTTAAAGCAACTCGGCTCTCCTCTCGACGGCCGATAGGACATCGCCGGCGGCCGCTCTCTCCACGCTCCGTTGCGACACTTTTCATACCCCCCTCCAAACCCTCGCCCCCCCCCCCCACCCCATTATCGACTTAATTATTCCAGTTAGTGATTACGTAACGCGCCACCGCACCACCGGCCCCCACCGCCGACGATTACGACCTCGGAGATATTGGATGATGGGAGACGCGACGCGGAATTAATGTTCGTAATCCTCGCTAAGGCAGCATTAACACGCGGGGCACACACGTGTGCGTGCGTGCGTGCGTGGGTGCGTGTGTGCGTGGGTGCGTGCGTGCATATGTGGGTGCGTGTGTGGGTGCGTGTGTGGGTGCGTGTGTGCGTGCGTGTGTGGGTGCGTGTGTGCGTGTGTGGGTGCGTGTGTGCGTGTGTGGGTGCGTGTGTGCGTGTGGGTGCGTGTGTGCGTGTGTGGGTGCGTGTGTGCGTGTGGGTGCGTGTGTGCGTGTGTGGGTGCGTGTGTGCGTGTGTGTGCGTGTGTGGGTGCGTGTGTGCGTGTGTGGGTGCGTGTGTGCGTGCGTGTGTGTGTGCGTGCGTGTGTGCGTGTGCGTCTATCGGCCTTCGTGGGCGCTGCTGCTCGCTAACAGCACTTGCCCCAACGGTCTGTTAAGGCTACGCGGGGGATCTTTGTCTTTGCCTCTCGGCCAACACCAGTGACGATTATCCGAACCGGTCCCCTAAACTAGGGCGACTCGGCCTTAAACAAACGAGTACCTACCTGGGTGCACTGGGGGGGCGGGCGGGGGCGGTGTTGGTGGTGTTGGTGTTGTTGGTGGTGTTGGTGGGGGTGGCGGCGGTTTTGGTGGTGTTGGTGGCGGTGGTGACGGTGGTGTTGGTGGCGGTGGTGATGGTGTTGTTGGTGGTGTTGGTGGGGGCGGTTTTGGTGGTGTTGGTGGCGGTGGTGATGGTGGTGTTAGTGGCGTTGGTGGTGTTGGTGGTGTTGGTGGCGATGTTGGCGGTGCTGGTGGTGGTGGCGGCGGTTTTGGTGGTGGCGGATTTGGTGGTGTTGGTGGCGGTGATGGTGGTGTTGGTGGTGGCGGTGGCGGTGGTGGCGGTGGTGTTGGTGGCGTTGGTGTTGGTGGTGTTAGTGGCGGTGTTGTTGGCGGTGTTGGTGGTGGCGGATTTGGTGGTGTTGGTGGCGGTGATGGTGGTGTTGGTGGTGGCGGTGTTGGTGGTATTGGTGGTGTTGGTGGCGGTGGTGGCGGTGGCGGCGGTGGTGGCGGTGGCGGCGGTGGTGGCGGTGGTGGTGGCGTTGGCCGCACCGCGCTCCTCATGCGCCCGTTCCCCGGACCTTCGTGGGCGCCGCTCGCTCGCAGCAGCACTTGCCCCAACGGTCTGTTAGAGGCTACGGTGTGGAGGGGGGGGGGACCTTTGTCTTTGTCACCGCGCACCGGGCTGGTGGAAGGACGGCGAGAGCTCCTTGGCGATGCCGCGCGCCGTCCGCCCCTCCTCCTGCGCCACCTCGCCCGCCGTGTCGGCGGCTTCCGCCTTGCTCCGCGCGTGCCCAGCCCTGCACACGCCACCAACGCCCCACCGACACGTGACGAACACACGCGACGAACACGCGACCGACACGCGACCGACACGTGACGAACACGCGACCGACATGCGACTGACACGCGACCAACACGCGACCGACATGCGACCAACACGCGACCGACACGTGACGAACACGCGACCGACATGCGACCGACACGCGACCAACACGCGACCGACATGCGACCAACACGCGACCAACACGCGACGGACACGCGACCGACACGCGACCGACACGTGACGAACACGCGACCGACATGCGACCGACACGCGACCAACACGCGACCGACATGCGACCAACACGCGACCGACACGTGACGAATACGCGACCGACACGTGACCGACACGCGACCGACACAGGACCAACACGCGACCAACACGCAATGAACACGTGGAGCGCGTTAGGGGTGAGCGCTAGTCCTGGAGCGACACACGCAGAGCCGCGTCGGGCCGGGAGCCGAACTCGGCTCGCCAGGTTCGCGTTGCGGTGTGCTAACCACTGCGCCACCACTCCACCCCTATTGCTATCTGGTTAATGCGGCTGTAACTTCGTGATCACGCTGAGATCGGTGTCAACGGCTACGGTGAATTCATCGCTTAACACCGCCACTACACCACACACACTACACCACACACACTACTCACACACACACTACACCACTACACCACCCCCACCATTCACACTACACCACTACACCACACACACTACTCACACTCACACTACACCACTACACCACACACACTACTCAAACACACACTACACCATTACACCACCCCCACCACTCACACTACACCACTACACCACACACACTACTCACACCCACACTACACCACCACCACCCCCACACACACTCCAATGTGAGTTGAGGACACGTGGGGGGAACGGGGTGGGCGCTGGGGCTGGCTCAGCTGTGGCCGCTGTCCCAGCCACCCCCAGCCGGGATTCCGGGATTCCGAGCCGGGCCAACCCTCCGTGCGCTCTGCTCGGGGTCCCCCGCCGTGTCGCAGCACCACAGCCGGTGGGCAGCCGGTGGGCAGGTGCCCAGGGGCAGCCCCGAGGGAGGCGGGGGGTGAGGGGTGGGGGCGGGGGGTGGGGGCCAAAGGGGACAATTCTCCCCCGGGCACCGCCCCAAAAATGAGCACAACAGATGCAGTGTGTTTGTCGCAAGTTCATAAGCGGGTGGGTGGGGTGGGTTTGGGTGGGTGTGTGGGTTTGGGTGCGTGGGTGGATGTGGGCGGGTTGGGTGGGGTGGGTTGGGGGGGGTGGGTTAGGGTGGGTTGGGATGCGTGGGTTTGGGTGTGTGGGTTTGGGTGCGTGGGTGGATGTGGGTGGGTTGGGTGGGGTGGGGTGGTTTGGGGGGGGTGCGTGGGTTTGGGTGCGTGGGTTTGGGTGCGTGGGTGGATGTGGGTGGGTTGGGTGAGGTGGGTTTGGGTGGGTGGGTTAGAGTGGGTGGGGTGGGTTTGGGTGGGTTTGGGTGCGTGAGTTTGGGTGCGTGGGTGGGTGTGGGTGGGTTGTGTGAGATGAGTAGGGGTGGGTGGGGTGGGTGGGTGAAGTGCGTGGGTTTGGGTGGGTGTAGATATGGAGGGACAATACGTATGTATGTATAGATGGATGTATAAACTCATGAACAGGGGGACAGATAGATGCATTAACAGATGGACGGCCAGACGGAGGGTCATGCGGATGGATAGATGGTTGTGTTGACAGAGACAGCGGGATAAAGAAATTAACCGATGGACGGACGGACAGACACTTGGACTAATAGACGAACGGGTGAATGTACCGATAAATCAGACGGACAGGCGGGAAGGGAAATTAAGAGATGGACGGACAAAGGGCGGGAGGGCAGGAGGGAGGGAGGGAGGAAGGCTTGGGGGGAGGGAGGGCCGAGCGTGATGGCACGGACGAACCGACCGACAAAACGCCGCCAACAAAACCCTGCACGGAGTGGGGCCATGGTCACGGAATTCCCCGACGATGCCTTCCCCCCCAACCCCCCACGGTGGGAGGGAGGTGGGGGGCTGGGGGGGATGGGGGGCTGGTGGGGGGCTGGGGGGGGAGTTCCGCTGTCCCCAGCGATTATTTGTGGACCCTGAAACGCGCGCTGGGAGGATCAACACCTTCCCCGCCAGCCCACACTCCTGCTGGGTCGGGAAGAGACACCGGGGGAAACGCGACAGGCACACCGACCAGACCAGACTTACGATGATCATGGTGGTGGTGGTGGTGGTAATAACAATGATGGGGATGATCATGGTGGTGGTGTTGGTGGTAATAACAATGATGGCGATGATCATGGTGGTGGTGTTGATGGTATTAACAATGATGGCGATGATCATGGTGGTGGTGTTAGTGGTATTAACAATGATGGCGATGATCATGGTGGTGGTGTTGGTGGTATTAACAATGATGGCGATGATCATGGTGGTGGCGTTGGTGGTATTAACAATGATGGCGATGATCATGGTGGTGGTGTTGGTGGTAATAACAATGATGGCGATGATCATGGTGGTGGTGTTGGTGGTATTAACAATGATGGCGATGATCATGGTGGTGGTGTTGGTGGTATTAACAATGATGGCGATGATCATGGTGGTGGTGTTGGTGGTATTAACAATGATGGCGATGATCATGGTTGTGGTGTTGGTGGTAATAACAATGATGGCGATGATCATGGTGGTGGTATTGGTGGTAATAACAATGATGGCGATGATCATGGTGGTGGTGTTGGTGGTAATAACAATGATGGCGATGATCATGGTGGTGGTGTTGGTGGTATTAACAATGATGGCGATGATCATGGTGGTGGTGTTGATGGTATTAACAATGATGGCGATGATCATGGTGGTGGTGTTGATGGTATTAACAATGATGGCGATGATCATGGTGGTGGTGTTGGTGGTATTAACAATGATGGCGATGATCATGGTGGTGGTGTTGGTGGCATTAACAATGATGGCGATGATCATGGTGGTGGTGTTGGTGGTAATAACAATGATGGCGATGATCATGGTGGTGGTGTTGGTGGTATTAACAATGATGGCGATGATCATGGTGGTGGTGTTGGTGGTAATAACAATGATGGCGATGATCATGGTGGTGGTGTTGGTGGTAATAACAATGATGGCGATGATCATGGTGGTGGTGTTGATGGTATTAACAATGATGGCGATGATCATGGTGGTGGTGTTGGTGGTATTAACAATGATGGCGATGATCATGGTGGTGGTGTTGGTGGTAATAACAATGATGGCGATGATCATGGTGGTGGTGTTGGTGGTATTAACAATGATGGCGATGATCATGGTGGTGGTGTTGGTGGTATTAACAATGATGGCGATGATCATGGTGGTGGTGGTGTTGGTGGTAATAACAATGATGGCGATGATCATGGTGGTGGTGTTGGTGGTAATAACAATGATGGCGATGATCATGGTGGTGGTGTTGGTGGTATTAACAATGATGGCGGTGATCAAAATCATCGCCAGCATCACCGCTATCACTGCCACCACCGCCACCATAATAATTACTGATTTCGAGGTGGCGACGATGCTTCAGGAAAGATGCCGATCATGACGATTCAGGAATGATGACGACGACGCTGACAATTCGGGAATCACGACGGTCGTAACGACGGCAACGACGACGATTCAGAGATGACGATTATCATCCCCATCGTCGTCGTCGTCATCATCGTCATAATTAAACAATTTTTATTTTACCAGGTAAGACCCACTGAGCTATGTAGCTCTTTTTGAGAAGAACATTGGCCGCAAATGATAGCCCAACAAAGTGGCTTACCACGTGGAAATGTATAGCTGCCGTATTATTCTAAACGCGTGACGTTGATTATTATAAATGTGGAGTGGACAAAAATCCACGCGACAACGGGGAGAGAGAGAGACACGCAAACTTCCAAATATACAGCAGCAGGCGTCAGGGTTGGGATGGAACTCGCGACCTCCTGTATACCAGGCGAGGTAGTAAACATCTCCTAGCCACCGTGATGATGATGAAAGAGAGAGACGCAAACTTCAAACATACAGCAGCAGGCGTCAGGGTTGGGATGGAACCCGTAACCTCCTGTAGACCAGGCGAGGGAGTTAACATCTCCTAGCCACCGTGATGATGATGAGAGAGAGAGACGCAAACTTCAAATATACAGCAGCAGGCGTCAGGGTTGGAATGGAACCCGTGACCTCCTGCGTACCAGGCGAGGTAGTTAACATCTCGTCATCACCAAGCGAAGCACAACAACAACAATGATGACGACGAAGCCCGCAACCGCCCCACCACAACCGCCACCCCCCACCCACCACACGCCCCCAGCACCCCCACGGCCCCCCCCTCCTCGCCCACCGTCACCTGGACGCGGCGATGTCGGCCTTCTGGCGCGCGATGGCGGCGGCCCGGTTGGCGCCCTCGACGGCTCGCTCCACCTTGCCGCGCACCTTGCCGGCGCGCAGCGGGATGAGCGCCCGCCGGCGGGCCCCGGCGCCCGTGGGCAGGGCGCCATGCTTGTACTTTCCCTCCTCGGTGCGCCCGTCGGCCGCGGTGGTGCGCCCGTAGCCGTGGCGCTCGTCGTCCAGCCACTCGCCCTCGTAGCGCAGCCCGTCGGAGCGCTCGGCCACGCCGAAGCCGCAGCGGCGGTCGCCGCGCCACTCCCCTGCGTAGCTCTCCGTGGCCGACGCGTCGTCCAGGCGCGCCGCCTCCTCCTCGTCCGCCGCCGCCAACGAGCCGCCGGCGCCGGTCGCCGTCGCCGCGGTCGTGCCGGCAATGGGCGAGTCCCGGCCGACGTCGCCGAAGCTCATCTGTGGCGGAGAGGGGGTGTGTGTGTGGAGGGAGGGGTTGGTGGAGAGAGCGTGGAGAGAGCGTGGAGAGAGCGAGGTTAAAGGGCAACGACAAGCCGCTCCGTTGAGCCGTCGTGCAGCTCAGCGGGCCTTTACCTGGTAAGTAAAAGTAAAATAATTAGTCGCTGAATTTACGAGCACCCGGCGCGCAACCTCAACGAGCGACAACGTTTCAGCCCCCCCCCTCCCTCCCCCCAAGCTCAACCCCACCGCCCCACCGCGGGGGGGCGGGGGCAGGGGGTAGGGGGGGGGGGCCTCACCTCCGACTCGGCGAGGCTGTCGCCGGCCTCGCTGCGGAAGGAGCTGCGCTTGCTCAGCTGGCTCGAGAGCGACGCCTTGGAGTCCGACTTGCGCAGCTTCAGCCCGCTGAGCAGCGAGCCGCTGCGGAACAGGCCGCGCTTCTTGGCCGCCTTCTCGGGCTTGGCGTTGGCGCCCGCGGCGAGGCCCGCGAGGGCGAAGCCGGCGCGCGTCGTCAGCAAGCCGGGGGCTCCAGGCGCGGCTGCGAGGGCGGAGGGCGGAGGGGGGGGGGCGATGTAGCGGTTAGCGCGACGTGAAGCGGACACGGGTCCCCGATGTTTTCCCGTTCGCGGGACCAGCACCGATCGTCGGCTTCCCGTTCCCCTCCCTCAACCCTCCCCACCACCCCCCCCCCCCCACTAGGTCGATTTAGTCTTAAATGAGTAGTTGGGGCGGAGTGCGTAAAACACCGGCACTGGGGAGACAAAGGCGGCCCGGCGCGGTGCTGGCCACACTACCGTCCCGTGTGCCGTGCCGACCTTCATAGGTGCTAATCGTTAACAGCACTTGCCCCAAGTCTGTTAAAGGCTATATGGGGGATCTATGTCTCTGGCGGTGGTGGTGGTGGTGTCGGTGGTGATATTATATTGTTATGTTCTTGGCAATTGGGTGGGGTCACGTGATTAATTAATTTCCGTCATTCTGTAATCATAACAATCATCAGGGCCATCGTCTCCACACTGTCGGATAACTCCGATTCTTCAGCAAAATAAAATCACAATGACCTCTTTTTTCTCAATCATCATCATAACTAAATGAATGTCATATCTAAACAATTGTCATTTCCGCATCATCATCCTTTTTTTAAATCATCATCATCACCATGAGTTCTGAATCGTGACAATGATGGCGGTGGTGATGACAGTGCAATAACGGTGATGCTGGTGATAGTGGCGGTGATCATAACATTGAGCGTGCTGATGGCGGTGGCGGTGATGATGACGGTGAGAGTGATGATGATGGTGGTGGCGGTGATGATGACGGTGAGAGTGATGATGATGGTGGTGGCGGTGATGATGACGGTGAGAGTGGTGATGATGGTGGTGGCGGTGATGATGACGGTGAGAGTGATGATGGTGGAGGTGATTATGATGACGGTGAGAGTGGTGATGGTGGTGGCGGTGATGATGACGGTGAGAGTGATGATGATGGTGGTGGCGGTGATGATGACGGTGAGAGTGGTGATGATGGTGGTGGCGGTGATGATGACGGTGAGAGTGATGATGGTGGAGGTGATTATGATGACGGTGAGAGTGATGATGATGGTGGTGGCGGTGATGATGACGGTGAGAGTGATGATGATGGTGGTGGCGGTGATGATGACGGTGAGAGTGATGATGATGGTGGTGGCGGTGATGATGACGGTGAGAGTGGTGATGATGGTGGTGGCGGTGATGATGACGGTGAAAGTGATGATGGTGGAGGTGATTATGATGACGGTGAGAGTGATGATGGTGGTGGCGGTGATGATGACGGTGAGAGTGATGATGATGGTGGTGGCGGTGATGATGACGGTGAGAGTGATGATGATGGTGGTGGCGGTGATGATGACGGTGAGAGTGGTGATGATGGTGGTGGCGGTGATGATGACGGTGAGAGTGATGATGGTGGAGGTGATTATGATGACGGTGAGAGTGGTGATGGTGGTGGCGGTGATGATGACGGTGAGAGTGATGATGATGGTGGTGGCGGTGATGATGACGGTGAGAGTGGTGATGATGGTGGTGGCGGTGATGATGACGGTGACAGTGATGATGGTGGAGGTGATTATGATGACGGTGAGAGTGATGATGATGGTGGTGGCGGTGATGATGACGGTGAGAGTGATGATGATGGTGGTGGCGGTGATGATGACGGTGAGAGTGATGATGATGGTGGTGGCGGTGATGATGACGGTGAGAGTGGTGATGATGGTGGTGGCGGTGATGATGACGGTGAGAGTGATGATGGTGGAGGTGATTATGATGACGGTGAGAGTGATGATGGTGGTGGCGGTGATGATGACGGTGAGAGTGATGATGATGGTGGTGGCGGTGATGATGACGGTGAGAGTGGTGATGATGGTGGTGGCGGTGATGATGACGGTGAGAGTGATGATGGTGGAGGTGATTATGATGACGGTGAGAGTGATGATGATGGTGGTGGCGGTGATGATGACGGTGAGAGTGATGATGGTGGAGGTGATTATGATGACGGTGAGAGTGGGGATGGTGGTGGCGGTGATGATGACGGTGAGAGTGATGATGATGGTGGTGGCGGTGATGATGACGGTGAGAGTGATGATGATGGTGGTGGCGGTGATGATGACAGTGAGAGTGATGAAGGTGGAGGTGCTTATGATGACGGTGAGAGTGATGATGATGGTGGCGGTGGTGATGATGATATGGCGATGGCTGCGGCGGTGGTGGTGGCAGCGATAGTGGTGGTGGCGATGGTTGCAACAGTGATGATGGCGGCGGTGATGACGATGGTGGTGACAATGGTTGGCGGCGAGAGTGATGGTGATCGTGGCGATGGTGGCGGTAACGGTGGCGGTGGTGATGGTGGCAGCGTTCGTGGTGGTGGTGGCGGCGGCAGTGACGGCGGTGGCGCCGATGGCGGTGACAATGGTTGGCGGTGAGAGTGATAGTGGTGGTGGTGACGGTGGCGCCAATGACGCTGCGTTCACCGTTGGGCTGGGGTTGCTCGGCGGTGCCGTTGCTCTGCTCGCCGGTGCTACGGATGGAGAGCAGGGAGGAGCGGTGCGCCGCGCGGTACACCGACGCCATGCCGTACGGCACGCTCTGCCGCAGCCCATAGCCGTGGCGCTCCCCGTTCACCCACTGGCCCTGGTAGGTGCCTTCAGGGAGACAAAGGTAAAGGTAAAGGATCCGCCACCACCACCACCACCACCACCACCACCCCGCTGTGTCGGGGCAAGTGCCATCAGCGAGCGCGGCAACTCACAATTTGCCGGCCGGTAAGGCCGTGACCACACAAGCGGGTGGTGTGGATGGTGCTGTGCCCGGGCCGCCTTTGTCTCCCCAGTGCTGATGTGTGTACACACCACATTGGGTGTCCGTTGTTTAAGGCCCAGTTTGAGCTAGCGGTGGTCCAAAAATCATTTCTGATAATTGCCACCAATGTTAGCCGCGAGCAACCGTGAGTACGGTGTGCCGGTGACTGTGCAAGACGACAAAGATCCCCCATCTAGCCTTAACAAACTGTTGGGGCAAGTGCTGTTCGCGTGGCCAGCACCACGCCCAGACACACGATTCTTTACCGCTATTTTTACTTTACCAGGTAAGGCCCCACTGAGCAATGCAGCTCTTTTTTTCAGAAGCGACCTGGCCACAAACGACAGCCCAACAAAGTGGCTTATCATCATCATCATCACGTGGAAATGTGTAGCAGCCCAATACTCTAAACGCGTGGACGTTGATTCTAAATGTGGAGGGAAAAACCGGAGGAGCCAAAGATAAATCCACGCGACCACGGGGAGAGAGACACGCAAACTACAAATATACGGCAGCAGGCATCCGGGTCGGGATCGAACCCACGGCCTCCTGTATACCAGGCGAGGGAGTCAACATCTCCTAGCGACCGTGATGATGAGAGAGAGAGACACGCAGACTCCAAATATACGGCAGCAGGCGTCAGAGTCGGGATCGAACCCACGGCCTCCTGTATACCAGGCGAGGGAGTCAACATCTCCTAGCCACCGTGATGATGAGAGAGAGAGACACGCAAACTACAAATATACGGCAGCAGGCATCAGAGTCGGGATCAAACCCACGGCCTCCTGTATACCAGGCGAGGGAGTCAACATCTCCTAGCGACCGTGATGATGAGAGAGAGAGACACGCAGACTCCAAATATACGGCAGCAGGCGTCAGAGTCGGGATCGAACCCACGGCCTCCTGTATACCAGGCGAGGGAGTCAACATCTCCTAGCCACCGTGATGATGAGAGAGAGAGACACGCAAACTCCAAATATACGGCAGCAGGCATCAGAGTCGGGATCAAACCCACGGCCTCCTGTATACCAAGCGAGGGAGTCAACATCTCCTAGCCACCGTGATGATGATGAGAGAGAGACACGCAGACTCCAAATATACGGCAGCAGGCGTCCGGGTCGGGATCGAACCCACGGCCTCCTGTATACCAGGCGAGGGAGTCAACATCTCCTAGCCACCGTGGTGATGATGATGAGAGAGAGACACGGAGACTCCAAATATACGGCAGCAGGCGTCAGAGTCGGGATCGAACCCACGGCCTCCTGTATACCAGGCGAGGGAGTCAACATCTCCTAGCCACCGTGATGATGATGACAGAGAGAGACACGGAGACTCCAAATATACGGCAGCAGGCATCAGGGTCGGGATCGAACCCACGGCCTCCTGTATACCAGGCGAGGGAGTCAACATCTCCTAGCTACCGTGATGATGATGACAGAGAGAGACACGCAGACTCCAAATATACGGCAGCAGGCGTCAGAGTCGGGATCGAACCCACGGCCTCCTGTATACCAGGCGAGGGAGTCAACATCTCCTCGCCACCGTGATGATGATGAGAGAGAGAGACACGCAAACTCCAAATATACGGCAGCAGGCATCCGGGTCGGGATCGAACCCACGGCCTCCTGTAGACCAGGCGAGGGAGTTAACATCCCGCAAACCACGGTGGCCACACAGCCACATGCAGACAGCCGCGCATGTCCGCTCACAGCCACAGACGCAGACACAGAGAGGGCTGGGCATCTGGCGACTTCAATAGTATCGAGCTGGCAGGTGCCAGGTCGTATTGATGCTGCGCTGATCAATCACCCACGCCTAACAGCAAAGACAAAGATTCCCCTCCACCAAATAGCCTCAACAGACTGTTGGGGCAAGTGCTGTTAGCGAGCACCTATGAAGGCCGGCAACGGCACACTAGGCGGTGGGTGGCCAGCACCACGCCCGGCCGCCATTGTCTCCCCAGCCCCGATGTTTACTACGCACCGCACCAAGTGCTAATTTGAGGCTGAGTCGGCCTAGGGGAGGGCCCAGAACCGGTTCAGGATAACCATCACCGGTGTTGGCCGCCCGGGGTCGCCGGGCTTGTAGCGCAGCGTAGCGCTGACGCCTTACACTGCCACCTAACAGCACGGCACAACACCGCACACACAACAACGCGCACACAACAACAACAACCGCCATTCGCCACTAAGTGGCGGTGACGTCACCACGACGCTTGTGCCAGGCCATGTGCACCTTGAGGCTACCACGTGAAGTGTCGAACGCCCGCTGGCAGGAGGTCACGGGGCAGACCCAGCAGGTGCCAGGGGTCACACACACACCAGGGCGGACGGATGCGCACGTCGCGGTAACGGAATTACGGCACTTGTCGTCGCGCCAGCTGGATAGCGGTAACGGAATCGGGGCAACAGCGCGGTAACGGAATCGCAGAGAACGCTGACGGGCATCGGATGATCGGAGCTCGGGTCTAAAACGATTTTGTGTTTTTCCCGGTAAAGCCCCCGCCGAGCTGTGTGAAGCTCTTTCTTCAGAAGCGACCGAACGACGGCCACAAACGATGGCTCAACGAAGTGGCCCATCGTCGCGTGGACATTTATAGCGGCCAAATAATGTACCTTGAAACCGCGCGACGTTGAGTTTGAACTTGGAGGGAAACACCGGAGGACCCGGAGAAAAATCCACGGCGACCACGGGGAGAGAGAGACACCGCAAACTCCATATACACAGCAGGCGTCAGAGTTGGGATCGAACCCACGACCTCCTGTACACCAGGCGAGGTAGTTAACATCTCCTAGCCACCGTGATGATGATGAGAGAAAGACACACAAACTCCATATACACAGCAGGCGTCGTCAGAGTTGAGATCGAACCCACGACCTCCTGCACACCAGGCGAGATAGTTAACATCTCCTAGCCACCGTGATGATGATGAGAGAAAGACACACAAACTCCATATACACAGCAGGCGTCGTCAGAGTTGAGATCGAACCCACGACCTCCTGCACACCAGGCGAGATAGTTAACATCTCCTAGCCATCTTCTTGATTCTTTCGGTAAAGTCACGTAGAGTCAGATGCTGTCTCCCCGACAGACCTGGTCTTCACCTGAGGACGGCTGCTTGCGTTGTGGCCGAAACGTCGTGAAAATTATTTTATTATTTCCCTTCTACGTGACTTTACCGAAAGAACCAAGAAGCTCTCCTAGTCACCGTGATGATGATGAGAGAGAGACACGCAGACTCCAAATACACAGCAGGCGTCAGAGTTGGGATCGAACCCACGACCTCCTGCACACCAGGCGAGGTAGTTAACATCTCCTAGTCACCGTGATGATGATGAGAGAGAGACACGCAGACTCCAAATACACAGCAGGCGTCAGAGTTGGGATCGAACCCACGACCTCCTGCACACCAGGCGAGGTAGTTAACATCTCCTAGTCACCGTGATGATGATGAGAGAGAGACACGCAGACTCCAAATACACAGCAGGCGTCAGAGTTGGGATCGAACCCACGACCTCCTGCACACCAGGCGAGGTAGTTAACATCTCCTAGTCACCGTGATGATGATGAGAGAGAGACACGCAGACTCCAAATACACAGCAGGCGTCAGAGTTGGGATCGAACCCACGACCTCCTGCACACCAGGCGAGGTAGTTAACATCTCCTAGTCACCGTGATGATGATGAGAGAGAGACACGCAGACTCCAAATACACAGCAGGCGTCAGAGTTGGGATCGAACCCACGACCTCCTGCACACCAGGCGAGGTAGTTAACATCTCCTAGTCACCGTGATGATGATGAGAGAGAGACACGCAGACTCCAAATACACAGCAGGCGTCAGAGTTGGGATCGAACCCACGACCTCCTGCACACCAGGCGAGGTAGTTAACATCTCCTAGTCACCGTGATGATGATGAGAGAGAGACACGCAGACTCCAAATACACAGCAGGCGTCAGAGTTGGGATCGAACCCACGACCTCCTGCACACCAGGCGAGGTAGTTAACATCTCCTAGTCACCGTGATGATGATGAGAGAGAGACACGCAGACTCCAAATACACAGCAGGCGTCAGAGTTGGGATCGAACCCACGACCTCCTGCACACCAGGCAACGTAGTGCCGACAATTGGCCAAGATCCTGCGGTCCTCCACGTATATTTTACACGCTTTCTTTGAACTCACTCTGTCTGTTGTTGTCGTTGTTGTATCCTCAAATCTTGTAACTCGATTTTTACCCACTTCCCAATGCGGTATCGACTGCAAACTTGGTATACTTATGTGATACTGATGACAATACTATCTTCTATCATAAGAAATAAAATAAAATATCTTTTTTTATATGTTATGTTTTGGCTTGGGTCTAATTGTCCATGCTCAACTGACGTTGGCTGTAATTGGCCTTACGTTATGGCAAGTTACGGGGCCATTTCCTGGAGTCGTGGAGTTCTGCCATCACTAGTACGGTACATTTAATAAAAGCGTGTTTTAAAAAAAAGTGTGTTTTCAATATTACTTACTACATCCGCTCATGACGTGCAAAAGCGCTTGCCACGAATGACCCGCGACACCTTGCTGATATAAATTTCGATTTAAAGCTTTCGTGACTGCAGGGATTCATCTTCTTGGTTCTTTCGGTAAAGTCACGTAGAAGGGAAATAATGAAACTATAAAAATAAAACATAATAAAATTATTCTCACGACGTTTCGGCCACAACGCAAGCAGCCTCGGCGATGTCGTCGAGGAGTCGTGAACCGTCGCCACGGCAACTCCGCTCGGCCATCGAACAAAGACCGATGGCTTCTGCGGCCGTCTGGAATGCTCTTCTTCCCGTCCGCTCTTAG